TTAGATTATTGATAATTACTGGTTAACACGCCTGTAACTGCAGCTGCATGATCTTTACCAAATATATCATTGTAATTAATAAAGCAGTGGTGTAGTGCACTTGCCTTTCGTTTACTGCATAGGTCATAGTACTACCGAAGCTTTAGATCGCAACAATTCCTTCCACATACGCAGAAATCATTCCTCGTGGCTTTGTCTGTAGTCTCTCTCCTCGACGAGTCTCATCTCCAGTTATCGCGCGACCATTTTTTCTTCGCTCTTTTTTCGTTTCTCGCTCGACAAACTAAGGAAAAAGAGGGACTGCTCATAGTCTAACACTGCTTAGTCTAAGAGCACGCCCTCATTCCCTTTAGTTCGTCAAGCGAGAAACGAAAAACAAGAGAGAGAAGAAAAATGGCCGCGCAAAAACTGGGGACTGCCTAGACTACCAAAGGTGTCGCGCTCTGCGGGCCACACAGGTACGTCTTGCGTACCTATTTCTTATATTCAGTTAAAAAACTGACGAGGGTACGGAAAGCGGAGACTTTCCGCTCGGCCGAAAATTAGATAGGGTCTCCTATCGTCCTGGAGCTGACAGCCTGCTCGCAGGGTAAATACCATATTTTTATAGTAAATTATTTCCTCTGACCACGTGCTGGAAGTTTTTCAGTAACAACCAGGAGAAGAACGGTTAGGTCATCGAATGCGTGAGAAATATTAGAAGAATTGCCCTGAGCTGAAACTTGACCTGTGACTTGTCACATTATTTACCTACCCATTATTTGTCCGTATTATATACCGTAATATTTGTAAGTGGAAAAAAAACAACTCGCGTAAGCATTCTAAATATCGTATTGTAAGTAGGGTAAGTAGCGCATTGTAATTAGTGTAAGTATCGTATTGCAAGTAATGTAAGAATTGTATTGTAAGTACGTATTTGTATTGTAAGTAGTACCTTTGTGTTGCAATTTTAAAAAAAATTAAAAAAAAAAAATGTAAAAGCAACAGCGTTTGTTCTTTATCGATAATCTTGTAGTATCAAAAATAGCAGTTCGCTTTGGTGGCCCTAATTCCGGCCACAACGAAAGCCATACAAATGTACGCATAAACAGTTCACAGACCAACCTGGTATAACTTTCCGTGACTTTTAATTAATCATCTTTCATATCCATATCGATCAATGAAAAGGCGAATTATACCAAGAGAGCTTTGTTTTAGGACCTAAATAAGTGCACGGTATTCAAGCCCATTCAAGCCGCTCTGCGGCGCCAGCCTGTGAGAGGTGGCCGGAATTAGGACCTCGACCCAAAAACACATCGAAACACGCCGGGTCAGCTGTCATCAAAAATTGATCATCTTCAAGCAACTTTTTATATATTTTACGGATATAAATGAAACTTGGCAGGATGATAGAATTTCTATTTCCAAGCAATCGTATGTTTTTTGTTTTTCCAATTTTAACGGTTTTTGGAGGAAAAAAGGCCTTGCTAAGTTACCTTCAAATTTCAGTTTTGCCCTTTGAACAAAATAATCTGAAATTATGCAAAACAGCACTGTCATGCACCTGTTTATAAAGACATTCATTTTGTTTTATTGTTTTTTACAAGTCGCAAAATAAGAGAGTTTGTTTTGATCATCTGAATGTTAATTGGCTAAAACCTACATGCATGCGGGAAACTTTTTAATACAAATATATGCTTCGCAACTCAAAATCCTGATAGATCGTTTTCATCGCGGAAGGAATCGATCATGCCTACAGTTCTCTTCTGTTGCATTTTCTTCTTGCTGACTTCTCTGATAACCGAGACCAACTGTTCTTCAGGTTAGATTGTCTTTAGTTGTTTTATAATATCTCTAATGTTCAACTTTTAATACGTTCGCTTTTCGGTATTGTCATCTGAAGCCTCTTTTGTTAAACGAGCGAAACGAGTCTTGTGGAAGCCTGTCAGTGGTTACACTGAGGAATCGGACGACTCTCCAACAACAAGCAACAACAAGCTTTATTAATTCTTAGGTTAAAATACATAGATTTTCACCTCCCGAAAATTAGCAGGGCTATTCGAGGCGGGAGGTGAAGAAAAAAACAAATTATAATAATGCATGGTAGCTAACAGTATAGTGTTTTAGTAAGTAATAACAATAAGAAAAGCTCTCTCCAGCATTTTGTCAGGTTTCGCCTGCAAATTATTTTCCGTTAACGGCCGGATTAAAGTATTTTCCCTAACAAAAGATAACTCGAGCACGCCATCGCTCAAAGCTGCTCAAACCGTCTTTCCGATCCTTCATGTCCAAAGTACCATAAACTCAAATTAGGAGTGGCGAATGGTCTATCAAAAATATAACGAATCTTCTCGGCAAATTTAAGCTGAGTCTCGGAATCTCGGCGCTTAAAAAAAGCGTCTCGGAATCTCGGGCTCGCCAGAAATAGGAGGACGGTCGATCGATCTCGGAGTCTCGAATTTTGAATCTCGCAAATCTTCTTGAATCTTCTTGAATCTTCTTTTATACTCTATTTTCTCGGAGTTTTGGATCACTGCGTCTCGGGCTCGGATTTTTGCAGCGCTAAGTCTCGGGCTCGGATTTTTAAACCAGGGTCTCGGCGCCTCGGCAAGTCTCGGATTTTACCATTCGCCACCCCTCAAATTATCCTACCAATAGTCTCGGCTACCTTGATCCTGCATTTCGACGAATTTTTAACAAGCTCATTTTAATTTTTAACCATTCTAGCTACAATAGGTTACTCCGCTTACAAAAATGCTAGTACGGATTTCACTTGCAAGTTAATCCTTTTACCGGGGTTGAAAGTACGAGAAAGTTACTAAATTGAAACTCGACTTTCGTTATACCTAGCCTGCGTGGCAGGCGTATAAAGGGGAGGGAGGGGAGTTCGGCGCGCGCGAAACGCTTCGCGCTCCGACTCCTCGCGCTTCGCGCGCGCCGAACTCCCCTCCCTTCCCTTTATACGCCTGCCACGCAGGCTACGTTATACCTGAATACTATGTTTTTCATGCATTTTCACACTACTCTCTGCAGTTTATCTCTTTGAGGTTTCACACAATTTAAAAACGCCATCATAAGTTTGTAAGGGCATATTTTGGATTAATATCATATTGAGTATTTTGGTTATTTAAAATTAAGAAAATAAATCTTAGGTTTTCAGGTGTTGAGTATGAAATAATATAAAGCGGTGAGTTCGGTAAACTCTGATTTACATTGTGAAATTATAGTTTCTCGTATCTTGGGGGTCCTGGTGGGGTTTAACTGATAGCTGAGAAATGACCAACATTTTAACTGATAGCTGAGAATGAGATCTGTTAAAATTAACTGATAGCTCAGAAATGACTACAATTTCAACTGTTAGCTGAGAAATGGCTAAAATTTTAACAGCACCTCCATCAGGACTCTTAATATACAGATTGTAATTTCAGAGTGCCGGTTTCAGCTGTCGAAATTTTCTAAACAAAGTGATTTATTTTATTTAAGCATCTTGCAGAAATCTCGCAAACTAATATATTTTCTGTAGATTATTAAAACTAGCTAAATTCCTCCATGTTTTACATCACCAACATGTGCAAGATGTGCAACAGTTTCACAGTCTAAGGTAAATAATTCGTTATCCTTTTGTTGAAAAGGAAATTGCTTATTCAGAAAGCTTGCCAAATTCTTACGCAAATTGCTTAAATAAAAGAAATCACTTTTTTTAATTAGACTGAAACTTCGGCAGCTGAAACTCACTCTGAAATGACAATCTGTATATTAAGATACGAGAAACTATAATTTCACAATGTTAATCAGAGTTCACCGAAGTTCGACACTATAATTATATTATTTTATACTCAACACCCGTCAAAACCTAAAAATATTTATTTTCTTAATTTTAAATACCCAAAACTGCTAGATATGATATATTAATCCGAAATATTCCCTTCCAAGTTCACAGTGAAAGGTCCCATGGAATTTTAAGAATTTTTCGGGGATTTTAAAGATGTTTATGAAGGAGGAGAAAGGGATGGGGAATAATGGTTGTTTTATTAATTGGGGGAAAATAAAGATGTAATGGAGATTTAAAATTAGAATCAGTTTTAGTTAATAAGAACCTTGCCGTCGTCTATGAAGGTTACTTGTAATTACATGCATGTAATCGGCACCACCCGCAAACACTGAGCAAGAAGATGAAAAACAGGATAATAATAACACTGAATAATACAGTAAAAATCTGCGTATAAGAAACTGTGGATTAAGAACCTGCGGGCTGAAATTTGCAAATTAAACCCCCATTATATATAAGAACCACTTCAGGCAAACAAATGAAACAGGCTCTTATTTTGAAAAATTAGTGAAACTCAGAAAACTCGGGCTTAGACCAAAATGTGCTTTGGAGGTTTATCGATAATCACAATGTACATGACTACTTTGTTAGTAATACTGAATTAGGCCTGAAGATCAATGTTTTACTTTGTAAAATAGATTTAAGGAGATACACCCATATTGAATTACTTTTATGGCCAGCAGCAAGCTGTATTTATAATATAAGAACCTATTTAAGAACCTAAACAGCCTGATTTCTCACTAGACAACCAAAGCTTATAAAGAACATGATTTCAGCCTGTCTTGAAAAATAGTATGTTGTTCTTATGCGCGGGTTTTTAGTGTAATAAATGCTTTATTTGAAAATAAAAAGCTATCAGCATTATAAAAATGCTGGTCTTAACAAGATGTTCAGTAATAATTAATATAACTCAAAGACTAAAATCACTATGATTAAAATGTTAAAGTTAGAACTATTTATAAATACAGTATATAGAAATGAGAGTCCATATAAATAAATGATGGGCTTATGTTGTCGATTTGACAATGTTGTTCCAAGAAAATGAAAACAGGATGTAGTCAGGGCAAAGTGTGGTTGGGGAGTTGTTTAATTCAACGCACCCGGGTCTTCGCCGGGTCTTACCCGAAACGAGCACTTTATATTAATAACACTCTTTACCAAAAAAATGTTTTACAATGCAGGAACCGTCGAGTCTCCTGTAGCTTAGTGGTAAAGCGTCCGACTGGTGTGCGGAAGGTCATAGCCTCGGCTACTCTTGGGAGAACTTGGAATATTTTTCGGAGTAGCTTGTATCACTGACTGAATAATATATTTCTCATTTCTACCAAGCTTAACATTCATCATTATTATTCATTTATTTCCATGGTCGATTTGTTGCTATGAATTATCACCAACTTAGTGAAAACAGCACTGTTATGCTCCTGTTTATAAAGACATTAATTTTGTTTTATTGTTAACTGATGACAAGTCGCAAAATAAGAGAGTTTGTTGCTGAATGTTAATTGGCTAAAACCTACATGCGTGCGGGAAACTTTTTTTTTAATACAAATATATGCTTCGCAAGTCGAACGTATGACAGATGGTTTCATCGCGGTAGGAATCGATCATGCCTACAGTTCTCTTCTGTTGCGTTTTCTTCTTGCTGACTTCTCTGATAACCGAGACCAACTGTTCTTCAGGTTAGATTGTCTTTAGTTGCTTATTAATATCTCTAATGTTCAACTTTTAATACATTCGCTTTTGGTATTGTCAGTCCGAAGCCTCTTCTGTTAAACGAGAGAAAACGAGTCTTGTGGAAGCCTGTGGCTACAAGTAGGAATCGAACGACTCACGGGTCATCAGTGCCGGCGCGTAATTATCTTCCAGTTTCCGTAGCATGAAGAGACTAGAAGTATTGTTAATCCCTCTCAGAAACAAGTCTGCTCTCTCCAGCATTTTGTCGGGTTTTGCAATAAATTATTTTCCGTTAACTGCCGGATTAAAGTTTTTTCCCTAACAAAAGAAAACACGAGTACGCCATCGCTCAATCTCTCGACTTTCCGATCCTCCAAGTCCAAAATACCATTAAACTCAAACTATCCTGTTAAAAGTGTCGGCTACCTTGGTCCTGCATTCCAACGAATTTTTAATTTTCTTATTTTAATTTTAACCCTTCTAGCTAGGGTTATACCCGCTTACAAAAATGCTAGTACGGATTTCACTTGCAAGTTAATCCTCAGTACCGGGTTGTTATTTATTTTCTTTCAAAGATGGGAAGAAATGGAAATATACCTTTATTTCTTTAGAGATGGGAAGAACAGAAGTATTGTTATCTTTGGTATTAAAACATAGAAGAGACATAGCTTGTTCTCCACTGCTGTTTTAATACATAACTCCGTTTATGTTATTTCTTTTATAAATTACGCGAAACGGGCAACTTTATTGATGTTTAGCTTAATTTAGTTGTCGCTGGTTGGTTCCCTCCAACATTATTTCGGTAACGCAGAACCGTATTAGGAAAGTTTACTTGCAATTGGTCCATTTCCAATGCCGGGTTAACTATGGTTTTCTTTCTCGATCACTTTTCTCAAAAATTTCTCGGAGACTTGGTTCTTCAGATTCTTCGTTCTTCAAACAACCGTGCTCTTTAGAAGCGGACAAAGTTTCGTGTATTTTTGCAAAAGTGTCACTAATTATATCTACCAAAATAAATAATACATGATGTTTAAACAACTAAAATTAATTATATATACACGATGATTAAACAACTAAAATGAGTACTCTATTACAGATGTAGATAATAATTTAGTGAGCTCACTAAGACATTAACAAATCAGCATAAATTGATAGTATGTAAAAATAGAGTCTGCTCAGAAGGTCTGCCATTATCGTCAGGGGCACAGTAACAGACCTGGTAGAGAGTTCAATTAGGCGCGCGCGAGTATGGGGTAAGCACGCGCGGGAAATCGATATATACACATTTGTAACCGTAATGTATCACACCGTTAGCTAAACAACGAACTCAGGGTGAATCCCTCTAGCCGCACGTTTCAAACTGTGGTACCGCAGCTGTTGCCCTACGTGCCTGAGTCGACTATCATCAATCTATACTGATTACTCATGTTCTAAAATACCTGCTGGTAGTAAATGTCCAAGGTTTTTTAAAAAGTTCGTTGCTTGAACTTTATCTTGATGATAAAATTTACACTGTCTAATGAAACATGCCTGAAAGGCAAAAAATACAGAACCGAGCCGCTTATAATGTTACAATGCTTAACGTTTCAGATTGAATCTAAATACAACAAAGAATAGCAAACTTACCATCAGAAAAGTAAGAGCCAGGCGCGGTACAACCTAGGCTCTATTTCCAGCCGTTTTGGGATTCCGGTTTCCATCCTCCTCCCACGAGCGAGGAACGAGGGCTCACAAAACGGCTGGAAAATCGAGCCTAGGTACAACCTCGCTTGGCCGTTTTTTATTTGTAGGCTCGCGACGGCTGTTTGTACGCGCGTACCTTTATTCAAACATTTTAAGCGCGCGCAGCATTCAGGGGCAATCAGGAGACTACGTAGGCAGAGCGCGAGGATTTAAATTACATGAGATCAAATTTTAAATTTAAAAGATAAACAATACGGAGCCAAACGAAAACGCATTAGTGTGGACGGGGCCTCAGTGGCCGGATCCAGAGGTGCTCGAAATTGAACGGCGAAGGTCATGAGACGGTGAGACGAGGCTCAACAAACAGGGGAGGGGCGAAACATTTTCGGCCGTTCGGGACTTACATTTTTCAACCAAAGGTGAGGGTGCGCGGTCCCCCCGGGCCCTCGCGCGCCTAGACGGCTCAAACAGCGCACAGTTCTCCCATGATGTTTTAATGTTTCATGGGATCTATAAAAAAAAACCGTCATAGGAGTGTAGTGAAATGTGTCATATTTTTTTTAAGAATTCAGTGTTTGATGATTTTACGATGTTTATGAAGGAGAGAAAGGCATCGAGGATTAGATTAGTGAATTTGAAATAAATAGCGATGAAGGATGATGTTGTGATTTGGGGGGAAACGGGAGGAAAGGATATACAACTCCTGGTAATTTTTCATCACATTTATAATGAGTGATTTATTCTTCATTTATTGCAAGGAATTATCAGTTCGAAACTCTATACATAAAGTACTGTAACTTAATATAACTCCAACCTATTAACTATGACTGCAATAAGCTAAGCTTGAGTCAGTCCTATGGAGTTGTGCTATCTGGAATATTTTCTGTGATGGAGCAATTATGTTTACAATAAGAGCGAAACAATTATAGCAACTAGAAATAAATTTTAATTAAAACGATCTGAAAAGTATTTTTCCTTTGCCAAAAAGAACCTGTCACATTTAAAATACGATTTGTTTTTTCATTAATTACTAAAATGTACGTAGCCTGTTATATATATATATATATATATATATATATATATATATATATGGTTTAAGAAAAAGACAAATAAACTACAAGTTCATCCTTACAAGCCTGTTTCGTGGTTGCCCACATCATCAGAGGATTTAATAAGAGTATATTTTTACCGTCGCTTATATACAAATTGATTTACATAACAATAATAATAATAGTGGTGATGCGATGACCTAATCAAACTAGTCTAATATATGCAGCGCGAAATTTAACAGTTCAATTGTTGCGTAGGAGGGCTTTGTTTCTGTGTCGGCAGGAAGACACGAGTTCATTGCGTTTGTTTAGTGTAGACAGTTCAGGTCGGCAGATGATTAGAAATTTTTCTTTGAGGCATAGGTTACATCTTTTACTGGAGCTACTGTACGGCGAGTGTGATGAGAGAATGCGCCAGGAAATAAAGTGATCAATGTTGTTGTCTTTAAGATTCCAAGTGTATTTGCTAAGTTCGGTATAATTTTTGTGCTTAGCGTGGCGGAATGATGCGGTATGGTTCCTGTATCTTGTTTTGAAATCGTTCTCCGTAAGTCCGATGTACGTTTCTGTCTTGTTGCTGTCTTTATTCGTTACTGTTGCTTGGTAAATGACTGACGATTGCAGGCAGTTTCCGTCGAGCGGGCAGGTGTTCTTTTTTCGGCAGTTGCATGTCTTGTTTACTTCAGTTGTAGTTGTGGTGGCGGTATCGTTGGCTTGTGAAGGCGATAGTACACGTCTGTTATGGTTATCGATGATCTGTTTGGTGTTGTTCATGCAACTGTAACTAATCTTGATAGTGTTGCGGTTGAAGATTTTGTGAAGGTTGTGATTTTTGGGGAAGTGTTTATCTACTAAAGCGAGGAATTTGTGTCCGATGTTAGTACTGACGTTCTTGCTGAAGGGAGGGTTGTACCAGAGTATGTTGTTGCGTTGGCGGTTTTTTCGTTTGCTAGGTGCGGCGGGTTCGTATTGAAGGGTGTAGTTATATTTGCTTTCGTCGAGAGCCTTCTGGTATGGAGGGGCGGCTTGGTCGAAGGACGCTTTGTTGGAAGACAGGGATGAAAGTCGTTTGTTAATGCCGGCGGGAATGTTTTTTGTAGTGATGGGCGGATGGTTACTTTCGCAATGAACGTATAGCAGCGTAGTATTAGGCTTCGTGAAGGGCCGGTAAGTGCCTTGGTTGAGGTTGAATGTGATATCTAGGAAGTTGATGGTCCGTTTGTTGGCTTCTATGGTGATGCGTAGTCCGTTATTGTTAAAGATGCGGCATATTTCCTTCTTGATGTTTTCTGTGTCTCTAGGTGTGGCGCTAGTGGTGGCTAGTCCGTCGTCTCGGTAAAGTCCTACATTTATGTTAAGGTGTTGGAGTTGCGAGAGAAGAAAGCTTCCTACAAGCTCGCACGTTTCCGCTCCGTCAAAGCTGCCCATTGTGACGTCAAATGTTGTGTTTCCTTTCTTTTGCCAGGGTTGTTGTTTGTGAATTAGGATGGAGTTTTTAGTGTGAATTATTATGTTTCTTTCGTCGGCCGTGATGTTGTCGTGGGCGGAGGCGAAGTCGAGTGCTTTGTTAAGAAGGTCTTGACTAATGGATGGATAAAATTCTTCGATGTCAAAGCAGATGAAGCTGGATTGCTGTTTATCCTTGTCAGCGTTAAACCAGTCGATTACAGATGCGGTGTTTTTCCATTGATTAAAGCTGCATTTGCGGGCGATGTTACTGTTGATGCGGTCAAGGATCTTTTTGCTTACTTTGCCTATTTCGGATTTCGTCGGGTTGATTAGTCTGCAGGTTGGTTTGTTAGCGAAGTTAGGCTTGTGGTCCTTGAGTGTTATAAAGGCGTCTTTGTAGGCTGCAGTG